TTCAGCGGGAAGTTCACAGAAACCTCTGATACAAAATTCACTTGTGCGTATTCTTTAACCACTGTTAACTGCTGATCTAGACACATTGAGCACACGAACTAGTCGAGCGTCATTTGAATCATCCATACCAGAAACAATTTTCATTTCTCATTCCAACATGTTACTAAATCCTATTTGGTATTTCTGTTCATCCTTAATCCAAAAAGGGCATGGCTTTGGCTAGAGTTCACTCAAGCAATCATCATCTTGGACTTTATAACTTGTGTTATGAAATTGCAGCGTTGCTGCTGCCCTGCCCACCGGCTGCAGCCTTCTCCTGCTTCCCACCCACCTCTCCCTCAGCTCTGGGGCACAGGGACAGATCCCAGGTATGGGACTTTTGGACCACATTTTCAATTAAAAAGAAACAAACACCACCACCCTACCCCCTACCCCCAAAAAAACCCAACACACCCACGTTGCCATAGTTTTACTGGCAACGCTGCTAAAGGAAAGAGAACTTTGGCCAATCCCTGGGTACAGGCGTTGGGCTAACAGCCTACCTTTCTCACCCCTCCTGAACCACATCAGGCATCCAAGAGCCTGTCCTTGCACAAGTTCACCAGCAGCAGCATCGCTCCATCTTCCCAGACACCAAAAGGCAAAACCATCAAAGGTGAAGGTCCACCCAAGGATCCCTGCACACACAGCCTGTCAAAAAGTGATCCAAAACCACCACTTTTCAACCAGGCATTAGTGGATCTTCAAAGCGTATTTACAACACCTTGACTTCCTTCAAGACATCCTCATTTAACTCAAGAGCTTTCTTCTATCTGAATTGGTTTCATAAGTAAGAGAAATCAAACAGTTCATTACCCAGTGGTGGTTAATTGGCTGTGATGAAACACAAATTTTGTTTGACAACATTTGGCCATGAACGATAAACAGTCTTCAGAGAGAACACACAATATCTAGTGCTTCGTGCAGGGCACACCCAGCTGCGTGAAGCACAGACAACTCGCATGGTGGTTTAAAAATAAAAAAAGGGGGGAGGGGGAAGGAAAAAAAAAGCTGGAAATCCTCCTTGTATTAAGGAACGATGTGTTTTCAGAGGCATTTAAAAATACCAGAAACTGCTTTAATGATGCACCCTCCTAAAGATACCTGTTACTTATTTCAAACCCTTTTTGACACAAACCATGAATAGCAAGCAGCATAGATGCTACTCTGTCAGCTTTTAACACAAATGCACTCACGTAAGAGCTGAAAAAGGGAGAAATTGAAAAATAACTGTCCTGCAACAACAAAACAAACAAAACCCCACAAACACACAAAATAGGAACATGCTCTGGTGTCATCAAGAACTATTTAATACTTATCATATGAAAGTGGATGTGTAGTCTTAACTTCTAGGTTTCTATGGTATGGTAAAGAAAAAAAAAAAAGACTGCAGGAAAAAAATAAAATATTTACTACTAAAATGACAGAGTTTTACACAAAATAGTACACTTCTCCAGGTACAGTTTAAAGGGCAATCACAGTGTCACAAACACAGAAGCACTACAATCATCAGTCATCTTCACAGAGTTTTACAACACTGAAATGAGGAACAAAACTAAGAAAAAT